TGAAAAATTTGTCAGCAGATTATATTGGCACGAAAATGAGTTAAGAGCTACTCAAATGAGCCTGTCTGCTGGCTTATCATTGCTACTAAACCCTGTCATGTTTTCTGCTCCAAAAGTATTTCAAGCTCACTTCATTTTATTGGTTTCCGATGCCATTCATATCAGCATGTCTTCTGAGAATAAAGGTGTAGATCCTGTGCTAATAGATTTTTACCTCACAGCATTTGAAATGTCTGTCATCTTGTACACAAGATACATGTGCAATTTGCAAAATGGCTATCCTATAAGTGGGAATAATGCTTCTGTTAAATCACGTATTCCTGAGAATAATCCTCAGCTGGATTTTGAATCTCATCTTCTGCCAGCTACATGGAAAAAAATTTGTCATTTGATTACCAAATGTGAGGAATCATGGCGATCATATTTGTGCAGTAGATCCCTTGGTGAGAAATCCAACTTGCTGACCAACTCTATTGCATACGTAAAGGAAAGCTTACGTGCATTTGATATGTCCTGCACAGATGAGATGTTATCAATTTTAAGTTGCATTATACTTAGAGGTTCTTCTGATGATATTGGTGAAAATGTACTATATACAGATGGGAAAACGAGTGTTCAAGATATATATCTTCTTGCTTCTATACTGAAGTTGATGAGTTGTTCAATCTTGCAAGTCATACACAGTCTTAGGCATGGCAATAATTCCAGTTCTTCAGAAGCTCTTAAAGAGGCGTCACTGTATAAGGAATTTGATGTTGTGATGGATGTTATTGGCTGTTTTGAAAAATTCAACATCACTTTACCTGTTCAAAAGTTCTTATTGGACATCATGGAAGCACATCCGTCGAGTCATATGAAGTCCAAGTGGATGCTTTTGCACTTTTCAGGCTTGTTATCACTAAGTTACGTTAGTGGGATTGACTTCTTAGTGAATGACTGTATATTTGCAATGATCTCAGTGTTGAATATCTTTAGTTTTGAGGAGGGCAGTTTACATGTCTTGGGGCCTTTAATTGGTTCCAAATCAAAATCTTCTGTTGGATCATCTGGGAATATGAGGGTATCCAAATCTTCTGGTAAAGTTAGAGAGGTAAATTTTTTTTTTTTGATGACTTTGTTCATATCCATTCTTTGCTTTTATGCGCTTTAATATTCCTAACCAATGTTGCAGACTTTCCTGATGGATAAAAAATCTAGCAAAATAGTTGCATCAAAGTTTGTAAAGATTCGGACTTTGTACTTGGGGTATGTCATTTGCATTTGATGGTGAAATGTCTTCTTTGACAATTGATGTTAAAAGCATCCTTGACTGCTTCAATTTCGTTGCTTATTTTCATTAATTTTCTTTCCTGATTCTGTTAGGATTTCTCTACTGTTGGTTTTCTTTCATAAAAATGTTAATCTTGATTTGTTAGCATAATATTAAGATATGTTTTTCTCTCAATCAGCGGTTCTCAAGGGAGGAGCATTCAGCAAGCTGAGCCAGCGGGAACTTCGGAAAATGCTTCTTTTATAAATTGCATAGATTCAGCTGTTGGCATGCATGAGGAAACCTGCAACGGCGAGAACTTTCTGAAGTGCATAATAGGTAGAAGCTCACTAAAATCATCTGAAATTGATGATTTGGCAGATTTTATTGAGTGCAAGCGAGGAAAAGATTATTCTGGCTGGTTGAAAGGGAGACAAAAGTTTCGACAGTGGTGGAAAAAGGAGAAAATGGCTGCCTATCAGTGGAATAAAAAACGAAAAGCCTGGAGGTGCATGATCGGGAAGAAAGCATAGGTTTGTTTGTGCTTTGTGTCAAATATATACGTGTACAGTAGTTCCACATGTAAATATTTAGAATCTGCTGAAACTCTTTTTGCCCTTTGTACAGTAGGTGACGTTCAAAGAATTGCATGAGAAATATTTCAAAAAAAAAGGATTGCATGAGAAGATACCCTTTCACCTGCAATGATTTGTTTTTATTTGTAATTCAAAAATTGTAATCATCTTTTTTGTGATAATTCAATTTTTGTCATTGTATGTAAATTAAAGTTTTGACTTCTAAATGGGAACACAAGCTGAAGGTTAAATAAAGTAAAATTATAAAATTATAAAATAATAATAAAGTATAAACTCAAGAAAAATGTGATTAAAATTGTTGATTATGTTAATTTCTAAACTTTTAGTTTCTGTTGATTATTATTTTTGAAGCACTTAATAATTCATTTGCACTGCAGGTATAAAATGCAGGTCATATTTGAACAGAAGCAATAGAGTTCATGAATGAAAGAACGAGGAAAACAAGTTCTCCATCTAATATTTTTTTGGAGAAGATGAAGATATGGGTACTAAATACATCTCTCAAGGGACCGGTTCTGGCAGGAAACCATACAGAACGTACATGAAATGAAAGCAGGGCAGAGTACTCTCAAGTAACTGGCTCTGTGTTTCATATAGCTAATAATGCGGATAATCTAAATGGAAGAGCATGGCTCTGTTGTTTCATATAGCTAAGTTAGCCAACTGGCAATCAAGATCTCTATTTTTCGATTGACGACGTGCAGAATTTTTCTTCTGCTGCTGCTGCTGCTGCTGGTATAGAAATTGAAGCCTTCCTATTTCTCTTTCTAACATATTCTGTTCCACTGATATAGTATATGATATAAATGAGATAAAAATCGAAAATATAAGTGAAATTCTTTCAGGTATAAATGTTAAATAATTAAAATCTGAAGAACTAAACAAAAATATAACAAATTTGAAGCAAACTCGGAGTTGTATCTATCTTTTTGAAATGTTACAAGTTAGAAGTGGAGACCACAGCGAGAAGAACACTTACAGTGTTTAAGCTGTTGCACCTGAGATAAGCTATCCAATCGGAGGTGCAAGGCTCGGTTTTCCATGCTTAATATCAGAATCTGCTGGTCAAGATATTCAAGCTCTGCTGAAACTTCAGATCCTTCGGCCTATCCAGAGAACAGGTATATATATCTTAGGATTAGAAGAGCAACAATTTGTGAAAGAAATAAAAAATAATTACTGATTAATTTCATGTTTTTCTTCAATACCCACTTGTAATATTTGGATACTCCTTTCTAGCTCTGCTATGTATTGGAGTCTCCTTACTCGTGATCGATGAGCAACTTGCCTGGTTTAAAAATTTTCAGGATATGAAACTACCATGGTGACTAGATAGAGTGTAGTAAGATAAAACTATTTAAGCAGATACGAACAAGGTAGAGGAGTAGGATATATAAGATTAGACAAGCACATACTGTTTAGCACGTTTAGACTCACTCCTGGATCCTGCATTAGCCTGTGAGCAACCATTTTTTGCGGAAGACCCCTCTGAGCCTTCCCATACTGATTTCCCAGCAGTTTTAAATGGCGCAACAGCTTGTGTCTGTACACTGCTTGAGCTTTGAGTAACATTAATGCCATTCCTAGGCTGTGCTGACTCCTGCTGTTTAATGTTTTCATAAAAGGCAGTGCTCCATAAATCTTGACGATGATGGTTGCTGTTAGTTTGAGATATCCAAGATGGTCCGCCAATAAGAATTTCCTTCTTAAATGGTTTAGCGGTTGTGTCCAAGAATGTAACTGAGTCACTTGAGGAACGCCGGTGACCTTTACAGAGTGGTGTCTCTGGCTCATTGAGGAGGTCATCAAGCCAAGAAGGCTGCTCTTCTAAGAGAAAGCTATCAGAAGAAGCACGATGATGATGACCTTGGTCTTCGAGAAATTTATCAGAAACTAATGCTGAACTAGAGGTATGGTCCAAATGGGGTAAAGTAATGGGATTTCTGGGGGGGGTAATGGGTGCTTCTTTTCCTATGTGTATTAAGTCCCCCATGCTTGACGAACCATTCAGGCATTCCATTCCTCAAGCATATGATACTGCAAGTAGGGTAGGGTAAGAATTTAATTCAAACCAGGTGAAAAGAGAGATGAATGTATAACATGTTTTTGCAGGAAATGCTACCCAGAGATCAGACTCCGATACAATCAAACAAACCGGTATTTTCTCTATCTGCATTGGGAGATATGATAGATTAAGTAAGCAGATGATCTCAGAAAATAAAATTTACGCGATTTGGTTAAGGTAGCTTCTATGAATTTACTAAGAACTTTCAAAAAATTACAATGTCTTTTTATCTCTTTAAGGATTAACCTCAATAACCCAAATCATATGAAGCATGTTATATACATATTTATTGACAATGTAAAAGCTCTTACACAATAGCTTATTTCTCATTTTATTTTAAACTTTTAACCATCACCATTCCATATTGAATTCTTTGTTGAGTAAATACTTAATTCCTACCATCTTTCAAATGGAGGTTCATTTGAATTTCATTGAATTTATTAATTAGAACAAAGAATGAACTGGGAAATAAATAAAAGAATAAATTAATCAGAGTATTAGGCCATGTATTATCTAACAATTCAAATAAAATCGTGTTGAAAACTTTATTAAAAGAAATCATGCATGTAGAAATCAAAAGCGTTTAAAAAGTAAGTACCGAGGTCATCCAGCAGGGGTGTGCAGCCCCGCTTTGATTGCAGAAGGGAAGCCGAGCGCTTGTTCTTGTTTGTTTCTTCTGGTTCACAAGTTCTTAATGAAGAGATTGTTAGGAGAAAAACAGAGGGGAAAAGAAAGTATATTTAGAAACACCAAACAGAGAACTAGGATATATGTTGGAGCGTGCTTTTCGTTATTACAACTGTCTTTCTATCCTTTAGAACCAAAAGAAAAGATATTGCCAAATTTTCCAGTCAAGTATGTTCTGTTGTTTCCTAAAAAAATATGTATTCTGTTGTTTGGGCAATAAAGCTTAACAGTTTCCTCGATTTTATTACTGTATATATACATATGCGTACATATACACATATATATTAGTTGTTTATCTATGAAGGTATTCTTTTTCTTTTTTTTTTGTTTTTGTTTTTTTCATGCATGCAGTCTCTTTCTAAAATAAAATTATATATATGCAAATTTTTTTTGTCGAAAAAAAATAAAATAATTAATTATAATTAATTACAAAAAATATAATTTTCCTATTTTAATTTAATTTATTTTCCTTCTAACACCTTAATTTATTTCTTCATAACACCTTTAATTTATTTTTTTAATACTATAATTTACTTTTTTTTAATACCCTAATTTATTGTCCTTTAATACCATGATTTTTCTTCTTCTTTAATAATCTACTTAATGAAGTTAAATTTCTAATAAGTTTCATCTATTTTTATAATAAAATGATTGTGTAATGATTAATATATGTTAATCTTTATGAATTTATTATTTAAATGTTATTCAAATTATTTTCTAATCAGTTATTTAAAATCAATGGATAGATATATCTTGGTTGATGGATGTAAGAAATTCTCATGCACAAATATAAATGCAGCAACATAACAATAAATGAAAAATTAAACAAAATTGAGATTGCCTATTCAACGTCTTTTTTAATACATATAACTAAATATATAATCATCTTCATTATCAAAATATAGATATAATCACGTTGAAAATTAGTTATTAGTAAATATATCATAAATACCACATACACAAGAAAACAACATTATAATATTACATATAATTTTTTTATTTAACTAAGCAAAAAACAAATCAATAAAAATGAGAAGACTACCCTCGCCTAGTCATGTTAATAACTATTCCTTGTGTGATTATAGATGATAAAGTCATATAACCTTTCCCGATAGCAGATAGCCTTGAGTTACATATATATGTATATATATATACATATACTAGGAAAGAAAATGTACATCATCCCCTTCTTTTTTGTGAATTTAACGAACAATTGGGTAATCAATTTCAATGTCCCAAGTAATAGCTGGTTCAGTTGGTAGAAGCATCCATTTACATCCAAGAGTTCTCATATGAATCATTAGAATTCGATGCTCAGAAATAGCACATTGGAAAATCCCTGAACCCCCACAATCTTGCATACACAAAAAACCTTCTCCCTTCAAGAATTTTCGTTGCAAAAAATGCAAAGAAAACTTTTGTATTCAGAGTAAGGTCTGTGTGGTTAAAGCTTACATTGATATAACCTGCGAGCCCTATCTTCTCAGGGAAACCTTTAAGGCCTCTATTGGATATACCAGATCCTTAAACCAATCTGATCGCTCGCATGAAACATCAGTTTTGCCATCTGAACAGGGATGAATAGGGCCAATTTACATTTCAGCTAACTTCTTAGCTTCTTAGTGTAGTTAAGCACTCGGTGCAGGTGGAATGCTTCCCCTTGATCGCCATTCAAGGATCTTCTCTCCAGACAGCATGCAGTTAATTGCCTGAGTAACCTCTCAAGATACGAGTGCAAGCAACCATGCAAATCCCTCATGTTTGGATTTGTTGACAAGATCATGGCGTTAACAATATCAGCCACAACTTCTCGCTGTGATTCTTCAAGAAGATATCCAACAGAAGATTCTTGTGGTTGTTCATATGCCAGCAATGCTACACAATCCTAGAGATGCAGAAAATTGACACAGATTAGCTTCACGCAGATTATAGAAAGATCGGGAACCTATCTTACATCCATCTAGAGATTCATATAGGTACAAGGAATGAGTGCCATCTCTAAAGCAGTTAAAATCTTCCCAACCCACCCCAAGCGAAGAACAGAGTAGCTCCTTAATCCAATTTTATTTAAGACAAATGCATAATTATATTTCCTTAGCAAAATAAGATAAGGTCGGTTTCTTCTTTTTTCTTTTTTCTTTTTTTAATTCGAAGGCATTAGCCAAGCTAAAGAGAGATATCAGACTCACAAGTATGGCAGCATGCACATGCACCTTTTTGGTTTAAAGAATAAGCCTGACCCAGTTAAAACACTCACACACCAAAAACACAAAACACGACTTATATTTTTATAAGATTTAAGAGCTTGACTGGAAAGAAAAAAATAGCAGCATTTTAACTCCAAAAACTGATATTACCATTCGGTCTTTACACCCCTTCTTAAACCCATCTTAATTTTTAAATGACCAAATTGCTGCTTAAAGGACCAATAGGAGAAACATGCTCAGTAGTGCTCATATTGCCACCCCTCTTTTATTGATCTGACAACCATTCACCATATATATAAATTACATAAATACATACATATATATGAAATACCATTTAGCATATTGATCAAACATGAATTCACTTGGTCCATCCATTAGACTAAAACACATCTAAACCTGCGCTCAGATAAATCCATATGATAAAGGTACAAAACATGGTAAAATCAAGTATGCAAATATATGCAACAATTCCAAAAGCCAGTCGGTAAATTAAAGAAGCAAATAGAGATCAAACTTCACAAATATATGTCATAGATGCAGAACACTTGATAGCGCTAAACAAAAGTTTCCATACCTGCACTAAATCTTCAAACCTAGACAATCCAAAAAACTTTGCCAACTCAATCCTTCCATACTTCACAGCTTCCTCTAGCGCTCCAACCTACAGATCAGGCATGTTTCTGAAACATAAACAAGCATGAAAGATGTGTTCTCTTCTTTTTGCAAAACAGGCCGATACTTTTCCATTAGACTACCAGTCTATTATATTCAAATTCAATTCCTGTATCTTAATTATTTGATATGTAAAATTTAATCATATTTTATCATAACTAATACATTATTAGACCAACTCACTTATTATCTTCAATTGTGCAATGAAAAACTTGCATTTCCACTTATAAACGAAAAAATCATAAAAACATTTAATTTCAATCGAAATGGAATTAGTTTGGAACTTGAATGCTATTTTTCTTCAAATTTTTATCCTATTTGCATTGGCTTCATACCCCTATACCATAAAATTAATATCTAAAGCAAAATTAACTTCAAGGTTAGTTTATCAAAGTACATGATACATGTCAAAAGTTCTTCCAGCTTTACTGGAGCATTCACTAAGAAGGTAATAACCAAATAAATAGTATTGACATGTAATATCCAGCCCAAACTTTAAAAAAATATTTTCTACCAGAAAAGCTTCAAAAATATTTTCAGAAGAAAACTTCAAAATGTAAAATAAAATAATCATGTTTTAACAAGTAGCTGGACTTTTCTTCCGCATTCCCAGTGCCGCAAAAAAATCAAGATCTAAAAAATTAAATAGGCTAAAAGATACATACCCGAACCAATTCAATGAATTTTTGACAGTGAAGAAGAAAGCAGGCAACTGATTTATCATCCTGCAGAAACAAAATCGAATGTCATGATGTCTAATAAAGTTAATGATAGTCAAGTTTTACTCGACTAGATCAAAGAAACACAATAAATTTCATTGCTTAATATGGTAAGACCAATATCATGGTTAACTTGTTCAACACTATATAAATACTTAGAAAAAGAAATTTCTTTTCCAGAGAACATAATTGAAAGATGAGTGGTTAATAACTGAATATCCATAATCATTATTAAAAAGATCCCACACACCCAATAACATACTAAAAGTTCTCTGAATTGGTTTAAATTATTTCAGTTAAGCACAAGCTAAATACTTTTTCTTTCTGTCCATAAAGATCCAAGGTGCCTAACTGCCTGTCTGGTAAAATAACTAGAGTGAGCAGGAGAGAAGTCAGAAATTATAAATAAACAAAATAATTCTAGCACCGGCTGGCAAATAACAAGATTAAGGAAGAGAAATCATAAACTTCTTAGCTAAAGAAGCTGCCAGTTGAACCTGAATCAATCTAACTAAACATCCAAGAACTTAATCATAGCCTGTCAAAAGTTTGAATAGCCAATCCCAAGCGATCCAACTGTCTAATTATCTGAACCATTTCAACAATTCAGTTTCTCTGTGTTATTTTTTATAGGTTTTTTCAACTATTTTTTCTTGTTTTTGTAATTTTTTTATGACAATTTTTTTTAAAGAAAAAGTTAAAATATATTAGAAAGGCATCAAAGGGGGTAACACCCGTAAACATAGGAATTTAAAGAGAGGTAAGGGTATCAATAACATCCCCAAAATTTTCATCTCTAATGATGTCATGCCCCAATATACAATACTCAAAATATTTAAACCACCTATCTCTAAGTTTGTATCTATCTACTGCCTCAAAAGCTCGATAATTTCTCTCTTTCCAAATGACTCAAAAAATAGTCAAATGAATAATCTTTACAATATTCTTTTTAGAGTGAATCCCACCCCATGCCCAAACTTCAGCCAGCACCGAACCCGAAGAGACCCACACAATACCCAATAAGTTATAAATCATGTGCCACAACTCATACACCACCGGGGAGCTTAGAAGGTGGCAACAGGTTTCCTCTGCCTCTCTGCACATGAAACAACAATTAGCCACGATTAACCCCTTCTTTGTAGTCTGTCTAGAGTCGGAATGCATTCCCTACATGCCTCCCAGCCGAAAAAAGCAATTCTCGGAGGGAGATTGACTTTCCAAATCTAATTGTGAGGAAATGTGTACCCACTGTTGGAATCCTTCTCAATAATCCATTTATAATATGATGACACAGAAAACTCACCCTTTTTATTCAGCCTCCAGATAACATGGTCCGATTTATCATTGATTTGGCATTCTGCAATCAAATGTAACAGCTTCAGATAATCCCCAACTTCCCAGTCATTCAGATTGCGTGTTACATTAGCCGACCAAGAGCAACTTCCATTCACCAAAGAATAAGCACCCTCGATCCAAATTGCATACAGACTTGGAAATCTATCCTTTAAGCAATCCCCATCCATCCATTTATCTTGCCAAAACCTGATGATATTGCCTCTGCCTACCTACCACTTGATGCATTCTTTGAAAACAGGCCACCCCTTCTAGATTTTTTTCCACAGGCCTAGTCCACGGTCCCTTCTGTCTAAACCCCCAACACCTTCAAGAGCAGCCCCACGCCATCTAGCATCGATAACCTTTTTCCATAGCTTTCCATCTTCCTTCATGTACCTCCATAACCACTTGCGTTTTAGCGTCATATTCATTTCAACAAGAGATCGAATTCCCAAACCTCCCTCTGTTTTCGGTTTGTTAATTTCAGACCAGCTAACCAAGTGGTATGTTCTCTTTTCTTCTCCATCACCCCAAAGGAAACGACTTTGAATGTTCTCCAGCCTTTTAGCAATACTACATGGGATGGTAAGAATGGAAGTAGATGGGGAGGTTAGCAAAAGTGCTCTTTATG